CACTCACCCATCTTTCCTTCAGTCACAACTTTTTCAGCATACATTTGTGCACAACAGGAAGCAACAGTCGACAGCGGCAGTTTCTTCCTTTCTCTTCCTCTCCTTGACTCCTTGAGGCAGATGGTCCAAGTCCTTGGTGCTCCCTTTTGTCTGGTAGCATGACATTGATAGGATTGTGTAAAAAAGATTTAAAAAATCGATACAGCAGGTAGTATAATATTGTACTATAGTCTATCTTTGGGCAGAAACAATTCACTCAAAACCTGCTTTGATAAATTTCATGATCTCTAAAACATCTGATCTTTATATTTTCAATTAATTCCTGAAACTCTGAGATGTTACAGCAGCTGTTAGTCACTGACTTTGTTTAATTCAGAGGATTATGTCTATCCTCTATACCCAAGACCTGCACCCCTCCAGGCTTTCCAACAAGTTCCTGTTACATTGTGCTCGACTATGAATTACACCCTCACTTGCCACTTTATTAGGAATACCTTGCTAGTACCAGATTAAATCCACTTTTGCCTTCACTACTCCCTTAATTTTTCATGTCATAGATTTAACAATTTGTTGAAAACATTTGGTCCATATCCACTCGACAGTATCACACAGTTGCTGCAGACTTGATGGCTGCACATCCGTGCTAGGAATCTCCTGTTTCATCACATCCCAAAAAGGCACTCTGTTGGATTGAGATCTGGTGACTGTGGAGGCCATTTGAGTATCATGAACTCATTGCAGTGCTCAAGAAACCAGGCTGAGATGATCTGAACTTTGCAACATGGTTCACTATTATCCTGGAAGCAGCCATTAGAAGATGAGTACACTGTGGTCATAAAGCGATGGACACAGTCAGCAACAGTGGTGTTTAAACAATGCACAGTTCATACTAAGGTGCCCAAAATGTGCCAAAAAAGATAATCCCCATCATTATACCACCACCATCGACCAGAACATATAAAACAAGGCAGCGTGAATCCACGCAACACCAAATTCTGACCCTATCAGCAGAAATCAAGACTCATCAATCCAGATAATGTTTTTTCAGTCTCCTATTATCCAGCTTTAGATTACAATACACAGGACAAGCCTGTGTGAATTGAAATCTCGACTTCCTGTTATTAACCAATCTGCTTCGAGGTTTGACAAGTTTGGAGATTCTCTTCTGCATACCTTCGTTGTAATGTGTGGTTATCTGAGCTGCTGTTTCCTTCCTATCAGTTCAAAGCAGTCTGGTCATTCTCCTCTGACCTCTGACATGAACACAGTATTTTCTCTCACAGAACTGTCACTCACTGGACATTTTCTACTTTTCTGACAATTCCCAGCAAACCGTGGAGATAGCTGAGTTGGAAAAATCCCAGCAGATCGGCAGTTTCTGAAATACTCAAATGAGTCCATCTGGCATCAACAACAATCTATGTCCAAAGTCACTTAAATCCTTCCTCTTCTCCAATCTGATGCTTGGTTTGAGCAGGTCGTGTTAACCATATCTGCATGCCTAAATGCATCAGTTTGCTGCCAAGGACCTAAAAATGTGGCTAGTGAGTGTAATTACATGTGTGTAATAACAGATAAGTGGATGATGATCATTTAAAAATTAGTTACAATTTTTGCTGCTTTTGAAAAAGCACAACATACATACAACATACAAATGAGATCACTGAGATCCGAAGATCTCATTTAAAGCAATGTATCCTGGCTGTATAAAAGTCACATTGCCATTCTATACATCACAATGTAAAACCTGTGCTGTGACGTTTGAAAAGTGTTTGTTTGTAGGCTAATATTGGCAGTGAGTATTGGAGACTAATTTAAACCGCTGAGGGTCACTGATTAAACAGGTTAAACAGACCCAAGGGCATTTTAAAAAGCTCGCCATATAAACTTTAAATAATTAAAATATCTCTGCCAACTTTAGTTTAGACTATTTCAAATAACCTTAGCAAGGTTAACTCCTTAAGGAGAAAACGAAATGAGCGTGACTGCTAATAACCAACAAGGCTTAAAGACACCATTCAAATCGCCTTCCAGACAATGACTCACCTGTCTGTTTTCCTCAGCTACAGGTGGAGCCTTTCGCTTTAAAAAGATGTACAAATCAAAAGAAGGCCCATAAAACCTCTAATAGCAAGAAATTGGATAGCAATTTTAAACGCCAACAAGGATAAATCCCAAACTTTCCGGGCTTTTGCCAAGTAAATCCTTCCCCCCTTTTTTGCTCTCTCCACAGGTTACTGACCCCAACAAAGAAGACGAAGAAAAAACAGTAAACAGCCGTTTTCTACGACAGCTCTTCCTGTCAACCAAAACCACCAGAGCTCGCTTCTAACTGGAGAGAGAGGAACATTTGGACGAATTAAAACAAACTTTTAGTTTCGTCGCTCTGTGTGAGCGTGTGCTGTGGTCGTCCTGCGAGCGGTCATCTGCGCACAAGAGAGGGGCACGAGTGACGTCAGCACACGTTTCTGAGTGGACAAACCGCGCGCGAGGGCTCTCTCGGGACCCCTACAGACCTGCCGCAGCTCAACGCACCGACATATAAACACAAGCTCACTGAGACAAACACTGTCAGCTGTTATTTTGTATATTATATTGAACTTGTTGACCTCAATGTCACTGAGTCAGCAGATGCATGCAGTATCCACCAGCCGGCACCCTCTCTCTCACACATAAACACACACCAAGTTCTCTTTACTGACATGAAAGCCTAGTCACGGTCCTAGTTCCTCGTTGTCAGATAGTATAAAAGGGAACCTGGAACATTTGACTTACTGATACAACTGCACTGAATTACCCAAAGACTAGAAGAGGACGCCTTGTTAGACAGGGTGAGAGTGAAGCCAAAGAAGGTTGGGAGGATCAGAGCACCACAGCTAAACAGACAGCAAAGAAGGCAGAAGATGCATGGAGGCATGGCTCAGAGCTGCTGGCTCTTGGTCACACTCTCTCTGAAAGGTAGGTACATATATAAAAGCGCTGCAGCAGTCATGCTGGGATCCGAGCTTCACGCAAAGACAGCGATGGTTAGAATTTAGGGTTTTTTTTGTTGGTATTCCAGGTATTCTTGCTGGTGATTGGTCAGTCCATCTCCGATCTGGTCCCATCTGTGCTGTGATTGGTTCTTCCATAGAAATCCCGTGTTCCTATGACTACCCGCAGACCTCCAATGAAACCAGGGAAGAGGGGTGGTCCTCTGCGCAGGTATTTCAATAAAGAAGGCATTGTTAGCAGTTATACTGTGCATGAAGAGCTAAAAACTGCAGTCAGAATAAAAACAAGTGTCAGTTCTTTGATAAAAACTAGCCAAAATTAGTTTTTATGCTAAGCTTACAGGTGATGTTTTGGGTGTGGTTTGAACAGATACAGTCAAGTTAATCTAGAATTTTCCACTTTACTGTATCCACTGATTAAAAAAGCTCTGTGTATCTGTTAGGGTGGAGGAGGTGAAGGAGGACAAAAGTACATGGTTTTGTCTGAGATGTGGTGCCTTGAAGACAGCCGGTGTATTACAGCAAGGTAACAATGATGTGTTGGAGTCACAGAAACACACACGAGGGTGGAAGTAAAGAGCACAGGTGTCTAAGTCTGTCTGCTTGTCCCTCTGTTTGTGTTAGATACGTGTACCACAGCGATCACATCTTCCCAGATCCATCCTACCAGAACAGGGTGCAGTACCTGGGAGAACCAGGAAGCAAGGTCTGCTCTCTGAGGATTACTGATCTAAGGCAGTCAGACAGCGGGACCTACGTGTTTTACCTCATCACCAACAACTCCGCAGAGAAGATGCCAGAGCAGGCCGGCGTACAGCTCCTGGTGGCAGGTGTGAACTTAAAACAAAACAATGATACTGTGCAATCAGCAAACGCATTGTCCACCCATCATTCAAAAGCTTTTATAGATTTGCAAAGTACGCAAGAAAAGATACATTATTTTATATCTATTTTTATGAGTTTCCTCCTGTTGTCATAATCATTTTATAGCCTGGATGAGTCACATCAGTATGACCTGGCAAACCATTAAAGACAAACCACACAGCCCTTCTTATTATTTTCTATGTGCATTGTGGTTTTGTCTGTCTTTTTCTTTTGCTATGTATTGGTCAACTTCTCTGTAAGTTGCTCAACTTCCTTGTCACAGAATATATCTCTGTTTGCTCTGTTTCTTATTTTGTTTTCTTGATGAATGGATCTGAGTGTGATTCCCTGTTGTTAGAAACACAGTACAGCGCAGTCAGAGACCAGCATTTACTGTCCAATAACCTAAAGCCAAACCTAAAGCTAGCAGCGTTTACAGTTTACTTTACTGTATTCCTTAAATGACTGCTTAGCAAAGCTTGTTGCTTTTTCTAGCACCATTGCAATATTCAGTAACAGTTTCCTTTGTGCAACCCTTTGTCTGACATTTTGTGCTATTTATGAGAAGCTGAAGTGAAACCGACGACTTGTTGGGTTTAAGTAATCTTGATGTAAGACTCCGTTTCATAACCTTTGATGCTTTTGTGGTTGTAGTCAAATTACTCTTAGAGCTAAATATTAAAGACAGGTTAATATTTGCAGAGCTTGGGAGAAAAAGATATTATAACCTGTTGAGAGCCAATTGAGTTGAGTTTGTCTGTCTTACATAAAGCTTGTGTGAGAAATGACAGCAAATAGCTATATGATATGTTAAGACATTGTGGAATAATAGTGTTTAGCATTAAATTAAAACACATTCCCTGTGTGTGTGCTTTAATCTGAGCCTCTCAGCTCTATGTCTTGGTATAGCTTGTCTGGTTCTGCATGCATGTGAGAGCATCAGAGTCCCGTCCTTTAAAACTGGTGGTCTTCTGTGGATCTATAAAGAAATTAAAGGAGAGGCCTCCCATAGCACATACATAATATCACATGTAATAGTGATATGGCCCAAAAAACAAAGGAATAGAAAGCATTCATAGTGGTTTCCACCTACCTTTAAATAGAAAATAGGCATGTACAAATGGTATATAAATCACTCCACCCATTGGCATACCAACTGGTATGTGGTATTTTGGTTGTTGCATTGTTGGACGGGTACCTAAAGACTACAGACACCAGGCTGTAAGTATACTTCCTTCTGCTCTAATTGTGCATTTTTACATGTGCACCTATGGAGACTGACTCACTTTTAGAGTCAGCCTCCAGTTGCTGTTAGAGGAACTGTTTGTTTTTTTTTACTTTGGCTTTGTTTTTCAGCTGCAGAGCTTGTTCCTGAATACTGTCCTCATTAACAAAAATGAACTAGTTAACTATTAGGATAGTGTTTTGCTCTGCAGAAAGCTAAAAGTTGTTGACTTTTAGCTTTTTGTTATTCATGATTGTTTTTTCCATTTGAATATATGAAATAATAATCTCATCACATATGTGCTTTGTCTGTTTCTGTTTTTTTCCCCTTCAGACTCCCCCAGTGCAGTCACAGCCTTAGCAAGTCCATCCAGGGGCATCACAGAGGGTTCAACCCTACGTTTGGCCTGCTGTAACCCTGCAGAGCCACAGGCCAATGTGACTTGGCACAAGAGCACAAGTAACAGCGTAACACACACTGGACAGGTGTGGAATATTACTGAAGTTAAATCAGATGACTCTGGCAGCTACTACTGTCAGATGCAAACTGGAGCCAAAGTGCATAACTCAACCATACTACCAGTTGATGTGCAGTGTAAGTCAAGCTTTTGTTATAAATGTAAAAATCAGATCAACATTTATATACAAGGTCATTCATCTGTTTATTTATTAAGCTTGTTTTGACACACAGAACTCCAAAGAGCAGAAAGAAAATTTTCAAGCTTAAAATATGTGCTGCTGACAAAGCATTTTAACTCAGACTTTCTAGAGAAATTCTAAAAGTAAGAAACTTCCGCATTAAGCCTGGGTTAACCTTTTGCAACAGGGATACAAGCAGGGCTCTTACAGAGCTTTTATTTCCTCTGTTTCCTCAGTATTATTGTAGGGCCTTTACCTTACAATATAAAGCGCCTTGAGGCAACTGTTATTGTGATTTGGTGTTATATAAATAAAACTGATTTGAATTGAATCAAACTCACTTGAAGATTTAACTCATCTTTAATGTACTTTAATGCCTCCTTCTAGATGCTCCTCGAAACACAACCGTCTCAGTGTCACCTGCTGGACAGCTAGATTACGAGCTCCCCATGACTCTGATTTGCAGCAGTGATGCTAACCCGCCCGTGCACACATACATCTGGTACCAGGGTGCAGCATGTCTCAGTGACGCAGACAAAAGCTTTCATCAAGGCAGACGAACTGTAGCTACACCCACAGGAAGCAGCCAGACATCCAGCAGTGCCAACATCACCACTGAGGAATCTGGGCAGCACTGCTGTGTGGCACGAAACAGACATGGATCTCAGACTTTCAGTGTAACGCCCAGAGGCTCCAGAGGTAGGTATATGAAGAGGCAGGTCTTAATATAATATTAAGACCTTTCCCTGCCTACGGTGTCAAACATCACATAAAGCCAAACTTTACCACCACAATATCATTATATCCATTTTTTTCAAACATTAAGTGTTACTAATGTGTATTTTGTTGTCAACTGCAGCTGTGATCCCACCCCTCTCTGGAAAAACAAAAGGGGTGATTGCTGGAGTGTTCATTGGAATCCTTCTGGCTATTGTTGTCATAGCCATCTGTGTCATAAGGTGGGCCTTTGTTTGTTTTACAACCAGTAACTTTCATCATAATTCACTTCACAGTCCCTGTAGCTGGGCTTATGCACAATATGTGTAAAATAATTTCATTAAAATCAAATAAGAGTGGTCATTGCTTCAGGTAGAGTCATTGGTTACTGGCGTGGATCATTTAAGCAAATGAGTTCTTACTTAAAGGTTAGGTTTAAATATGACCAAAAAGATAAATCAATCAATTATCTTGGGTCATTCTATCTCAAATCAACACGAGATTTCTGCTCGACCATCTCAGATTTGGATAAAAAATTTATGATAGAAAGTTTGAATCTATATAATGAGTCCTGTGAAATTTTAATTTCATATATCAAAGCGTTTCTACATAGTACTGTAACTATAACACTGAAAATGATTTAGTTAAATATGTGCCCATTTTCATTTTCAAGACTTGGGTCTCTCTTAAATAATCATATATTTTTCAAAAATATTTTCTGCTGAGTCATCACCGATGCATAAAAATGTTATGGCCCGAAGTTTGAATATACAGTATATAATGATTGCTGTTAATTTTAATTTCATATATCAAATACCTTTTTAGAAGTCTAGTTGAGTTTAATTAAATCTCTGAGGTAGATTGATTGGTTACTAACTTTGATCATTTAAGGAACCAAAATAGTTATTACTTAAACAGTAGGTTTAAATATGACTGAAAGGATGAATTAATGAATTTAGTTCATTATATAACATAAAAAGTGACTTTAGATTGCAGTGACAATGTCTTTATTCTTAAAATGTTTTGTTCTTTTTGCTTTCAGGAGACAGAAGTCATCCAGACGTCAGTCATACGTGCTCACTGCAACTGCGTCAGAACCTTAAAGAGTCAGTGAAATCAGGCTTTATTCTACCTAGAATCGTACCCAAAGTGCAGTACATGCACCAACAACAGATCTGTACATTTCTCTAACACACACACACACAGAGCAAATATTTTGCTTCAGCTCCTCCTGTGTGGTTACTAACATCACTTTCCCCAAAGTAAGACCACATCACATTAACTTTAAATGGTTATTACACTATGGCTGAAGTCTAAGTTGGTAATCAAATTTTGGCACCAGTTCTCACCAGCTGTGAGCGTGTGCAGCTCATGTGATAAACATCAATGTTCATTCAAGCAAGCAGGATGCAACAGATTTCAAAGCACTGACCTGAGCTTTCGTTTCCTTTTCAGAAAGAAGCGAACTATGGAGCACCGTCAGAATGTATTTCACCCGCTTGTGTTCCATTAGTTTAAATGCATTTCTTCTTTAGGATTAAGCCTCGAGTCGAGGATGAAGTGATGCATCTCTAAGAAAAGGTTTTATTCCAAACGAAAGAAGATAGGAAACAAATGTCACCCCTTCATATGACCTCAAATTTATTTATTACTGTTTTTAAGTTTATTTTATTTGTATTTTTATTTTATTATTTTATGTTATTTGGTTCAGTTTGTTGGAGTGTTGCAGTAACAGATGTGAATTTAAATATCCTCCACGGTTCATTGCATAACACGACTACAGGCGACATCCGGAGATCTCGCTAACACTTCTTGACACAGGGTTGTAACCACACAGCACAAAGTGCACCGGGTAATGTACAAGCAATGTCCAGAAGTAGAAAACATTGAAGAAGTTATTACTGAAGGCCTGCCAGTGATGATGACTGCGAAGATGATAACCCAATTAAGTGCTGCTGGCAAGTCCAACTGGATCCTGTTTGTGTGGCTTTGAGTAAACTCCTGAGAGCGATAAGCCTCCAGCAGATACTGAGCAGAGCGTGAGGAGAAGTGGGAGAGGATGAAAACCAAGAGGACAGTGACTCTAACACCCGGACATCTAAAAAGTGCACTATTTTAGGATTTTGCTTTTGTTTCATTTGCCATATTAAAGTGAGGTGTGACGTGCAAAGTTGTTTTAATAAACAATAAAGTGCTTCATTAACAGCTATCCAAAGAGACAGTTTTGCACATGTGACCCTTAGCTGTAATAAGTTGCATTTATTACACATTTTTGCAGCCATTTGATGTTTTCATGTGATCTGTAGAGCATGTATTGTGCTGTCAGTGCCAACTCATAATTTCATTAAATGCTCACGAGCTGAAATTTATACTGAAAAGCATCCAGCAAACTGCAGTGGGACCAAAACTTACAAAACTCAGACTTCGGACCTTTTTCAAAGTCAAACTGAACTTGGAAATTAAAAAAAAAAAAATAGTTAAAAAAAAGAAGAGCCAGAAGCAGATCAAAAGGCAACAAGTTTTACACAATAATCTTTATACAGTTATATGGCAGCAAATATTTATCCAAGCTTCTGTTACAATTAACATTGAACATTTTAAAATATTAACCACAGTTCTAGCAACAGAAAAGACTATGAGACTGACAGTGTCATGTGACCTGTGAGCAGAAGAGAATGCACATGCTTATTGTAAACTCAAGGGGGAGCAGAAACTGTTGTAACCAATGAAAGCCATATGTCCACGCATCAGCAATGTGGCTAACATAACACACTGGTGTGAAGGAAGACTTAAAGTGATCACATGTCCTCTCAGTTTCACCCAGGAGAATTCCTATTCACACTAAGGCTTGTGGGCCTCAATTGTTGAATTAAACATTTATATTTTCTCCCTCCCCTCGCTGTGAAATTGAACAATGACCCAGTATTAACGAAGGCAACCTTGCAGCTCAGCTTTTTCTTCTTCTTCTTTCTTTCTGCATAAACCTGTCGTGTTTTCTGTGCTTGTCATTCTGTCTGTCAGCTAAAAATCTGAATTGATTCCGATAAAACTTTGTAGGAACATAGAGTGCGGTCACGTTAACGATCCATTAAAATCTGGCTTACATCCACCAAGGTCGTCTAGGTCAAGTTAATCGTTTATTGGACAAAGATAAAAATCCTTATAACTTAGAGACTATAAGACCATCAAGTGTGGTGCGTATTGGCAACATATAGAAAGTACTGTATGAAGATTTAAAATTTCATGTCACATGACCGCGGACCTCTCCTCCAAGGTAAAAGTGACTAACGCTACATAGAGCTATTTACCACTACATTTATATTGCCATTGTTTTTATTGACAACATTTGGGCACATAAGGACTGATTCAGCAGGTAAAATAAGTATTGATTATGTCACCAATTTTCTAAGTAAATATGTTTCTAAAGGTGCTATTGACATGAAATTCTCACCACATGTTAGTAATAACCCATCCAATCCACACATGCAAGGAAATTAAACCACAGATGTCCACAAATTAGGTGTAATAATGGGAAATGACACAGGGAAAAAGTATTGAACCCAGGAAAAAAGGGAGATGCAAAAAGATGTGGAAAGTCATGGCAGCAGAGGAAATCTATCAGTAATTAGAAAGCAATGCCAAGACCAAAATTGAAAAACTCTTTAGATGCCAAAAAACACACCATGTTTAAAAGGCACTACGTATATCTCCCCAACAACACCATGCCAACACGTTTAATATAACCGAAGGAAGGATGAATGGAAAAAATGTATCTGCTGCCAGGATGATGAAGATGAAACGAAGGTGGACGTTTCAGAAAGACAATGATCCCGAACACACAGCAAAGGAAGCTCTCAGTTGGTTTCAGAGGAAGAAAATAAAGCTGCTAAAATGATCCAGCCAATCAGCTGACCTGAACCCAAGTGAAAATCTATGGAAAGAACTAAATGTCAGAGTTCACAGAAAGGGTCCACTGAACCATCAGGACTGTTTGTGTGGAAGAATCACGACTGAGCAATGCATGCGAATAATTTCTTTTTATATAGGAGGCATTTTGAAGCTGTAGTCACCAACAAAGGTTTTTGCACAAAATATTGCATAATGTGTGGATTTGATCAGTTTAGCACCTTTGGAAGTATATTTACTTGTTGACGTAGTCAATACTTAAATATTATATTATCCATCCATCCATTCGCTTCTGCTTATCCTTTCCAGGGTCCTGGGGGGCGCTGGAGCCTATCCCAGCTGTCACAGGGCGAGAGGCGGGGTACACCCTGGACAGGTCGCCAGTCTGTCGCAGGGCTAACACACAGAGACAGAGACAACCATTCGCACTCAGATTCACGCACAGATTCACACCTATGGGCAATTTAGATTAATCAATTAACCTATCCCGACTAACTGCGTGTCTTTGGACTGTGTGAGGAAGCCGGAGAACCCGGGGAGAACCCACGCAAACACGGAGATAAGGTCAAACTTTCATAAAATGTTTCCTATCTCTAAAACTTGCTTTAAAGTCTACTGCTTTTGTACTGACAACATTTAGCAAATGATAATAGTATGTGTGGATTCTTGTTTTCTGGGTTATTTTAACCCATTTCACATTCTCATATTTTCATAATCATTGCTGTCCATCTGAAACATAAAAGGACAACATTAGACATTTTGTGAGAGACGGTTATAATTGCTTTCAAACAGACCCGAGTCCAACGTGTCATCCTTCTCACCTCTCTGTCCCCAGCAGGATTACACCACCCCTTCCTTTAACGAGGAAACGAGAGAAGTTTGCAAACACAGCACAAAAACATTCAAAATCATCCAACTGCTACTAAATTAGGAGTAGTTGGTATGATTCACTTACCGAACCCAGATAATAATCAGTGTAAGAAAAAGCATCAAAACCACTTTGACTCCAATACCAAAAAGGAGGATAACACGATCAACTGTTCAGAAAAGTAGGAGAAAATGACAAGGATGCATAGTTTCCTCTGCAAAAATTTTAAAATAAATGCACATTTTTTTGAGCCACTAGATTGGATTTCTTAACAATTTTATGAAATATCTACTAATAATTTGCATCATTTGAACAATAGGTTATGCCCACTCGCCTGACAGACTCACTCTTTGTTTCTTCCACTTCCAGCAGGACCGCCGTCGAGTTGCTTTCTCCGAGACTGTTCCCGGCCCGGCAGAGATAGACTCCACTGTGGGACACCTCCAAAGAGGGAAGAGACAGCACCTGGCCCGAGGCCACCTGAAGCCTGGAGCTGGAGCTGTACCAGGTGTAACTATCTGCTTCAGGGTTAGCAGCGCTGTTGCAGGTAAGATTCACATTGCTGCCCACTGACAGGAGGCCAGCCTGACTCACCTCAGCAGACACGTTCAGTGGAGAATCTGCATTAAACAAAGTCACTGGTTGCACTTTGTGTTGTATGAGTAAAAACTCAGCTTGCAAGAATTAATATTATCTTCATTTACTTACACTGAACATCCAGGGCAGCAGGGTGTGATTGCACTGACTCATACCCCTTGACAGTACATGAATATTTCCCAGTGTCTTCGGCCTGCGCCCACAACAATGTTTTTGTCATTGGATGTCCATCTTTGAACCAGATTGTGCTTCCAAGTTGGCACGATGTTACACACTCAAGAGTCACCTTTTCTCCAGCTCTCACTCTCTCCGGCTGCACTGTGGCTCTCATCTCTGGATGTGGGTCAGTTAGATATATATTTTTTAAAAAAGAAGAAGAGGCTGGAAACATTAAGTCTGGAGAGCAGGTTTAATGTAAAATCACTTTACCTGAGACGGTCAGATGCACAGAAGTTTTACTACGCATTCCTATCGTATCCGTGCCAAAGTGAAAGTAGTAATATCCAGTGTCATTAACCTGCAGGTCATGAACTGCCAGGCTACAGTTGTGCCGCTGGTCGCCAAGATATTCATAACGATGGCGATACGACGGAAGGTCTGAAAGCTGAACTCGTTTCCAGACACCATTTTCTAAATGTCCCTTGTACCATCCAGTCGTTCTAACAGTTTCCCCAGCTGTGTAGTTGTATACGCACCTAAAAGTCACAGATGATCCCTTTATAGCACAAAGATCTGGGTTTTCAAATGTCACTGACCAAGCAGCACTCACAGTTCCTGCTGACAGGTGATGAAACACGACAGAACATATTTTGTTAGTTTCTTTTGTTGTTATGGAGAATTTACAGACAAGACGTAAAGGGGAAATTGAAGTAAACCGCTGAACAGTGTGTTTTTTACTTCTTACAAAAAAAATGAGGAAGTGAAGTTGTCAAAACAAGGCAACAACAAGAAGGTGAAGATCACTCTGCTGTTCACTCATATTCGGCCTCCACTAACTGCAGCTTTTTGTTGTCATAATTTTGGTTTGGCTTTTCAGACTGAAACAAATAACCAAACATTGACCTGACAGATACTAAAATAGTCCGTTAATCAGGGGAAATTACCCGATTACATGATTGCCAGCAGTGCGTGTAATGCAAATACTTTCAAATGTGCATGTGAACTGCCACAGTGAAAACTGGGTACGTGTTTCGGGTACGGAGTAGGAAAGTAAGTAGGTTCCTTTGAGAGAGCAAGTAGAGGTTGGGTGTGTTTCCTTTTTGTGACGTGACTGTCTAATTGCTATCAGATAATATTCTTCTGGCAGCTCTCTACCAAGCTTTTCATATTTGATGGATTACAATCGGTTCTGATAAAATTTAAGGAGAATAATATTGCTGTTCTCATCCTCATCAATGTTTTTTCTTGCTCATTTGTTGCCTTTTAACTTTCAAAGAGGTTGATAAAATCCCACTGAGTACTTTTTTGTATTTGAGTGTCTGCAGTCGCTTAATACCACACATCCTGAAACAGTTAAACAGCATTTTAACTGTTTCAGCACTTAACTCTTCCTCTGCTACACGTTAGCAACTGAAAGTCCAAAACATTAAAGTGAAACTTTGAAGAAAAAAAGATGGTTGGGTTGTAAAGATTTGAATCTTGGAAAGTACCTGCTTTCAGAATAATATAATCCCTCTACTCATTGTCTCATCTTTCTATTTATTCCTGTTTGATGCATCATTGCTTCAGCAGGTACAGTCAGCTTAACAACTGTGTTATTTTCTATCCTCATGTTCCACATTCACTCTTTGGCTCTTACAAAGTAAAAGCAGCCCCATGCAGTGTAGACATAACAGATAATTACTAAGTATACTTAAAAAAACAAAAACAAAACCTAGAATTGCAATCAAAAGAAGTTTTATTCCATTCCAAGCTTGTATGTTATCTTAAAACTCAATTGATAAAGAATCTTCTTACCTGACTTCACAGCCAGGAGCAGCAGCACTGCGATCATCATCTCCACATCAATGCGCAATATTTCCACACAGTTTTGAAATCTTGAGGTTATAGCTGATACAGTAGACGCCAGCTACTCATTTCTGCTTTCTGCTCTGTAGAGTCGCATTGAGACCTCTGCATGAACTTGAGATGCAGACAGTGGGAGGGCTCAGCGATCTCTCACCCATCCTCCGTTATGACCAAAAATGTGACAATTTAAAGTCATGTGAAAAAACAACAAAACAGAAGACAGAATGGTTTTATTTTGGCCTTAAACTAATTTAATAACATTTGTGAAACCCATTCATAAATAAATTACAGTAAATAATCATTTATTTGTAACTTATTATTCACTTTTTTTCAAGATTTTTTTTAAAAGCTGGCAGATGAGGAACTTGTGGTTCACTCCATTTCTGTTATTACTTTCATTTTGCAATGAAAATATGACAACTTTGAAAACAAATGCCCCTCCTTTATTTTTTCCATCCAGCCAAACACCAAAATGTAAAAATGAAGAAAACCCTCAAACAGAAGCAAGGCATTTCTGGCAGGTCACGATCATTTACCATGAACTTTGTCCTTTGTGCCTTTTTTAAACCATTCAAAGAGAAGCATCACTGATTGAAGGGTGAACAAAGAAGACAGGTTTAACACATTTGTTTGTGTGTGTGTGTGTGTGTGCGCGCGTGCGAACCTGACGTCTGCCCCAGCTATAATCGGTTCAGGCTGGGCCTGCATAACCTGTTTGTTACTTGTTTTCATCAATCCACCTTGCACATAAGGAAGTCTTCCACATTCCTAAAAGTGCCCTGTTGTCCTGAACTTCTGAAGCGAGCGGATGGAGAGAGGCAGAAAGAAGTGAAGCAGCGAAGGGTAAGCAGTGTGCGGACAGTGACACTGTTATGGACAGTGGGCGCAGATGTTTGTCACAGCGGCCGGTCTCCAGTGTCTCTGCGTCCTAGGACCACATCTGTGCAATAAATGGGATTTTCTTTTTAAAGAGGTGCCGTCAAACAATCTTCAAATAAGGAAGCTTTCTGTAGAGCTGGTTGGGAAATTCCTGTTTGTTTTGTGGTCAGTGTAAGTCATTTCATTTGAAATTCATATGTTTTCTAAAATGAAAAAAAGTATGTCATTTCCTCAGGTGACATCGAGCAGCATATTAGATTGTGTGTATGTTTAATTTATAGTATTTTTAAAACTATGTTGTTGTCAACACTCTCAGTTTGCTATATCTAATTCTTGAACAATGTTCATCTACAGCTGCACTACACCCATGCAAAGAATCGTTGCATAAATAACTGGTTTTCTACACACTCCCACACACAGGCACCCGTATAACTTGGTTTTGCATTCACTGAACTTCTTTTATGTTTTATGAAGTTTTTGTTGTTTGCAGGTTACTAACTGGAACAAGAGTGAAGAAAAAGATGGACGGAGAAATGAGGAGCAGAAGGGCACTTTCTCTGATGTGCTTGTTTCTGACTGTGCTCCAGATCAACACACCTTCCTCAGGTAAACCAACCACATCCATGACTTCCAAAATATACTTTGCAGTCACTGAGACATTCCTCTCTCACGCTTCCTCATTCCATTGTTGCAAATCTTTCCATCCAATTCACTCCAGTCATTAGGCTAGATATACATTTAGGAGAGGAGGTGTGACTCTGTGGGTGGATATTTGTTTTGTATTTATTTTGTGAAATAACTTTGATGTTATTTACTTTGTATTAAAATTTTTTTACTCTTCAGTTTTACCAAATATAAATTGCTGATATATTTGGGTTAGCAGTGCATTTGTTAAATTGCAACATTTTACTTTTTACCTGATTATTTTTCTTCCTTCTCTCTCTCACACACACACACGCATGGATTGATCACCCAATCACTGCTCCAGCTCAAAACACAACTTTGAGTACTGCTAGCACCACCACCAAAGCTCCAAGCACCGGTGCTCTCAGGTACAGCACACTACCATCTAACATCTCAGTGGGTGTGGGAGAGCCTGCAGTGTTTCACTGTGGCGTGCCCGAAGCGCATCCGAACCTCACGTTTACCTTGTATGGGAGTAATCACAACTACAGCCTCACCTGCCCCGGTGGCCACGTGGAAGACATCCCCCAGGTGAGGGAGGTGGAGGGGGGAGTGACCATGTGACTGTTGTTTTCTGACTTGTTCTTTTTTTCTATGAGGAAACAGCTGCTATTAGATTACATGTTACAGGCAGTCTTTCTGAAGAAGGAGAAACAGGATGTGCACATCGAGGAACAAATATGACAAAGCTTTTCTAGGAAACCAAAGTAGAACCAAGTCACATTTACAATAAGGTTACAGCAGCCCTCACAGAGAACTGTGCCGTGGATTTGTATATTCTAAGCGTGTCTGCATATTCGTTTTTTCCGTTGTAAGTGGTCATTGTAAGGAGATTCATTCATGAGTTTAACATGTTTGCACTATGGTGCATTTTAAACTCATCCCCATCAAACGACCCAGGATCATTTTATAGTATTATCGTCTTACGTTTGTTAAGATTGTGTTGACATTGTAAATTGACCACCATCAATCACCCTATGAAAACGCCTTCTTTTGAAGCACTTTTGAATCCCTTATTCAGTCTCCTTTCTCTCCTCTGTCCCCGTCCTCAGGCTGTCTATGGACGTTGTGAAATGAAGAATGGAGAGTCGCTGGCTGTGTGGACCCTCCTGGGAACTGCCTTGCCCCACAACGGCACAAGAGTAGTTTGTCAGCAGCTGAGCAACCCGAGAGCGCTCTCTGCCGTCCTGCATGTTTATGGTGAAGTATTGAAATACAGTCAAACTAAGTGCATTGCCTAACGTTGCATGTCTTCAGTTTAATTCAATCCAGTAGTTTCTTGGGTTCAGGTCCAAGTTGCTTTATTTGTACCTTTCAGTAGTTGCAGTTTAATCTGATGGAGAGATGGTTGCCCCTCTTTGAGCGTTTCCCGCTGGAGGTTTCTCACCATTAAAAGGGGGTTATTCCTCCCCACCATCTCCTAGTTGTTTCTCAAAAGGGATCATCTGACTTTTGGGTTTTCTCTCTTAATTGTAGGACCTCAACATTACACACTAAGACCTGTCAATTCTCTGTGTGGGACACTAAGTCTGAGACCACTGTGCCCAACAAAATGTTTGCAGTCTATTGAGTCCTGCTGTACTGTCAAGAGGACACCCTGAGCTTAGTGACTTTCCGCAGACAATGGGCATTGCAGCTTTTACATCTTGTGGCAACAAGTTTAAGTGATCATTTTTTTGCAGATAAACCACTAAAACTCAAATTGTTTCTTCAATATGAGATTCTTAACTTCAATTTGGCAGCATTTCATTAATGTACAGTCATTTTAACTCTTTAGCTTTTTATTCAGTGTTTGTTTTGTTGTCAGTGTTCATTTTCAATCTCTCCAGGAAGTAGAGGACTGAGTGAGGCAGAAAAGAGGAGATAGAGAGCATATAGTTTTACCTACCTCGAAGCAGGACGCACTTTGTGACAAACTGAAAGTGTAATAAGCAATGCGTCTTTCCAGCCTTTTCAGTTAAATTCACACACACACACACACACACACACACACACACACACACACACACACACACACAGAGTACATAATCAAGTACAAGTCTAATTTCTAATGTATTTACTTTGATTAGTGTTGATTTATGTAAATATTATATTTGCAATTCATTCAGGTTTCTACCATACTAAAACTAGGTTGAAACTATTTTTAACATGAAACATGAAAACAGGATAACGTTGCCCGCCGAGACTAGGGCTGCTCTGGTTACATCATCCAGCTCATCCATATATGGGCATTGAGATTTTTGAACATTTCTAAGCACACAAACTACAGGGAGGTGCTCATCTCTGAGGAATGCCTTAAAACTGAAAGCCTTCTTTATCATATCTGTTCATGGCATGACTTGGATACATAGGATCCAGATACAGTTATAATCTTAGATATAGTGATCCTTTTCTCCTCTGATAAGGAGAAAAAGAATGATACCCTCTGAAAGGTGAGACCTCTCTTAAATACGATGCAACAAGGCTGGCTCAATCTGCAGAGACCACGAAAAGCCTGTGTAGTTGAGACAGCATGTAAAGTTTCCTTTACATGGCGGTGTCCTGTTTTGCACTCATGTTGTTTTTATTTTTACTTTGTGCCTAGATACTGGTGCAACCAATGTCCTTCTCATTGGCTGTATTCTTGGGGGATTCTTTGGCGTCCTGTTAGTGGCAGCTTTGTTATACACCTTCCTGGTCAAATCTGAGTCCTTCCAGGAATGCTTCGGTCAGTAATGAACACATTTATTAGCACAAGAAATGACTGAGAAGAATAAATAGACTGACAACTAATATACAATGTGTCTGTGCTTTTAGGTGGGGAAGAAACCGAAGAGGA